ACCATGATAACGGTATTCGACCACCTTTGAAATTAGAAGGAATACCTCCAATATAATTCTCACACAAGGAATGTCAATTACCATCCGCCACACCAGAAATAACATCCCCATCTACCGGAAGCTCCAAATGTATGTAAACATCCTCCAGTGTAATAGTGCATTCCCCATACGAAAGATGAAATATGTGTATCTCTGGTCCCCACCTCTCAATCAGTGCAGAAATAAGGTTGGATTCAAGGTTACAATGCCCTTCATATTTCGTCATGTAACCGAATTCGACCTTAGCTAAATACGGCTAGACACGACTCGGTATCTCTAACTTAGCATTACGAATAAATGGATCTAATATGCAGTCATTCCCCTAATTAAATAAATAATATACAAATTAAAATATAAACTAATACTAAAAAATAAAAATTCACAATAATTAAAATAACAAAATTTAAAATTGTTACCGTATCGATAAAATGACTCGATATATGATTCTCATCTAAAGGAAGCAACCCGCATTCCATTTTATATTTGTAAAAAGATATAAGAAAATTAGTAAATTAAATAATAATTAAATAAAGAGAAAATAACCTCAGTGACAAAAAATGTCTTATAATATACGATTTTAACCAACTTTTTTTTGGATTTGCCAAAATGATCAACTAAATCGCAATGCGATCGATAATTCACAACGCGATCTCCGGTATCGCAAATCAGTTTCCAGATTCGCAATGCGAACTTCGACTATCGCATTGCGATTTACATATTCGCATTGCGATAGTCCAAGTTCGCGTTGCGATAGTCGAAGTTCGCGTTGCGATTTTCCAAATTCGTTGCGATAGTCAAAGTTCGCGTTACGATTTATTCCAAATTCGTTGCGATAGTCGAAGTTCGCGTTGCGATTTATTCCAAATTCGTTGCGATAGTAGAAGTTCGCGTTGCGATTTATTCCAAGTTCGTTGCGATAGTCGAAGTTCACGTTGCGATTTATTCCAAATTCGTTGCGATAGTCGAAGTTCGCGTTGCGATTTATTCCAAGTTCGTTGCGATAGTCGAAGTTCGCGTTGCGATTTATTCCAAATTCGTTGCGATAGTCAAAGTTCGCGTTACGATTTATTCCAAGTTCGTTGCGATAGTCCAAAATCGTAATCTCTAAAAATATAGTATTCGTGCGGACGTGTCGAAGATACGTATTACCACGACCACGAGACAGCGGCGGCGCGAGAGTCCCCCTTGTTCTCTATCACTCAACAAGGAAGTGGGAAAGCCAAGCCTTAAATACCATTCCCAATAGTGTTTCCAAAACTATGTGGGATTGAGCATTACCAACACTTGTTCCCAATACTATGTGAGATTGAGCCTTAAATAGTGAAATTATTTTTGAATGTTTTTCTTAAAATTGCAATAATCGCGATTGATTGTAGATTGACTTTTAATTATGACATATTTAATCGTATAATACTAATGCAATTGGTTGTTGATTCAGTTGTTTTAAGGTGCATGATTGTTAATTGTTTCCTGAATAATCACATTGTATTGGAAACAAGTGTTGGTAATGCTCAATCCCACATAGTATTGGAAACACTATTGGGAATGGTATTTAAGGCTTGGCTTTCCCACTTCCTTGTTGACTGATAGAGAACAAGGGGGACTCTCGCGCGCCGCCGTCGTCCGTCTCGTCTCGTCTCAGGTCGTGGTAATACGTGTCTTCGATACGTCCGCGCGAATACTATCTTTTTAGAGAAAATTCTTAAGAAACAAATGCAATACCACCAGTCGTTTGGACTATCGCAACGAATTTTGAATAAATCGCAACGCGAACTTCGATTATCGCAACGAATTTGGAATAAATCGCAACGCAAACTTCGACTATCGCAACGAATTTGGAAAATCGCAACGCGAACTTCGACTATCGCAACGCGAACTTCGACTATCGCAACGAATTTGGAAAATCGCAACGCGAACTTGGACTATCGCAATGCGAATATGTAAATCGCATTGCGATAGTCCAAGTTCGCGTTGCGATAGTCGAAGTTTGCATTGCGAATCTGGAAACTGATTTGCGATACCGAAGATCGTATTGCGAATTATCGATCGTATTGCGATTTAGTTGGTCATTTTGGCAAATCCAAAAAAAGTTGGTTAAAATCGTATATTATAAGACATTTTTGGTCACTAAGGTTATTTTCTCTTAAATAAATAATAATTAAATAAATAATAATTAAATAATAAACTATTAAATTATTATAATATAATAAAAAATTATAGCTTCTAAAAACAATAACAAAACTTACTTAAAGCTTGCTATAGGAATTGATAAGGAATAAAATAAAAAATTTTAGTGTGGATTGAGTGTTGTATATGAATGTATTTATAGGAGGGAGGGGGAGGGGGAGGGGGAGGGGGAGGGGGAGTTGGGCGATATTAAAGGGGTTAGTGGTTATTTAATGAAGGCATGGTTCGTGCCTTCCGCCACGTGTCAAATTCCCCATTAAGGCGCGTATTACAATTCACGTTTTTCACGTGACGCCAGCTCAGACAGAGCCCTAAGAAGATGCACTTCATGATCTGCGTCTTCCGTCCATGTCTGCAAAGCTCGTATCCTGAAACGCGCTTTATTATCACTTTATCAGAAATGATTCTAGATCGGTAATATTTGAAGAAATGCTGCTTAAAAGGTAATTATTGATTGTTTGGGTGATATTTTTGTTAAAACGCCTAAAAACCATTGAGTAATAGTTTTTATCCTTTTTTTTTTTAAATTGTGAGTGGTTTAGGTTAAATCATTCGAGCAGACCTTGTTGCTATTATTATAGCTAGTCCGATTTAGTTCGTGTTTAAATATCACCTTTCTCTACATATATTTTAGATTATCTTATTTTTCTTAAAAGAAATTTTATTTTAAGCTTAAATATAAAATAAGTATAAAAATCATATCGGTTTTTAAGGATGTGTTTAAAGTATTTTTTTGACTCATTTCAGTATCTAACATTATAAACTTTATCATTTTAAGTGTCCGGACCGTTAACGATATTAATTTACTCTATTAAATAGCACATGTCATAATCTTAGAATTTTGGAACTTTTATTTTTCTTAAAAATGAAAATATCTTTAAAAAATTTAAAAAAACCTTTCCCACATGCATCCAAACCCTGCTTCCATGCCATTTCCATGGCCAAACAGTCAACCAAATGGCCGCATGTCACAGTTAGCTAAACAGTCGATTATCACGATTGACCAAAAGAGCTTAAGAGATTGAGTATTTGAGATTTTAGAGATTAGAGATTAAAATTTAGGGATTTAAGAATTTTAAGTTTTGAGATGATAGTAAGGATTGTGATTGGTCATTGGGTGGTCGACGACGTATAGGTAGGCGGTCACTGATGAATGGGTGGTCAGAGATGATCGGCTATTGGAGTAAATTGGACTAAAATAAGAGATTTTAAGAGTTTAGATTTTTTTGGTATTTTAGAAAAAATGGGACTTTTCGAAAATAGAATATTTTTAAGTTTTTAAGTTTTTTAAAATAAATTTCTAAAATTATCAGATTATGATAATTGTCACTTAACGAAATAAATTAACACTATTGATAATCCAAACACCTAAAATTATAATATTTATAATATTAAATATCGGGATAAATAAAAAAAATTAAATACCTATTTGTAAAAAAATATAATTTAAGTAATTATTTTATATTTAAGCCTTTATTTTACATTACTTGCCTAATTCCAAGAGGCACACACACACACGTATATGTACAGCTTTAGCCCAACTATTTGATTTTGAATATATATATATATATATATATATATATATATATATATATATATATATATATATATATAGTATCTTTTATTTATATTGTTAATGTTATGTTGAACATTTGAACCCGTCCGAAAAGAAAATACAAGTCGAGGTTTTGATTTTGATATATATATATATATATATATATATATATATATATATATATATATATATATATATATATATATATTAGTATCTTTTATTTATTTTATGATTCATATATGTTTTATTTAGATTTTTTAAATATTAAGATTGAAAAGTGTATAAATTAGGATACTATTTTGTTTTCTATTTATATTGATATTTGTTGTTAAAATTAAAATAAATACATGATAATTGGGATGAGCAAAACTTGACTCGACTCGAAAAATCAATTTTTTCTACTCGAATTGACTTCTAGTTGCAATTTCATAAACTCGACTCAACTCGAAAAAATTTCAAGTTCAAATCGAGTTGTAAAATACAACTCGAATAACTTAAAGTTTTTAGTAATTAGTGGATTTATTTTCAAGTTTAAGTCGACTCATTCGATTTTGTATGAGATATGTATATCACATATGAAAAAAATACGAATAAATATATTTGCATTGTATATATGGTTATAGAAAGTCACTTAAATTAGAATCAAATAATATTATAATATTAAAAATATTTACAACTAAAATTAAACAGAAACTCAAAAAATCAACTAGACTCAACTCGAATTGAAAAAAAATTCAAGTCAACTCCGAGTTGTAAAATATGACTCATCAACTCGAATAACTTAAAAATTTTTTACTCGACTCGATCGAACGCTCACTACTAACTATAACAACGGACATATTTATTGTTTTCTTTTTAAAAAAGAAAAGAAATTAAAGTTGATAATTCTCTTTCTACGAATGTGACAAAACGATGAGTACACAAAAGATTCTTTGGGAGCCTTTTAACGATATTATAAAGTGATTTTTTCCTTCTCAAAGTAAGATCTCAACCTTTTACTTTTGGTACTTCGATTGCAATGTGGAGTAGAATTTAATTTAATTAACATAGGGGGGAAATAACTCAGAATTTAGAGTAAATATACCTTTTTTCATAAAATTTCAATGTTTCTTTAATTTTGATTTTATTATATTAAAATCTTATTTTTTATGAAATAAAATCGATTATTAAAAAACTTAAAATATGCAAATACTATTATTATCAAAGTGGGAAACACGGAGCAAATTGAAAACTAAAATTACTAAAAGTAAAAACTTTCAACAAAATAATTATAAATATATAAGAAGGTGAAAACTAAAAACTCTACGTTGCATGGAGGGCCCAAACACTGCATTGTCTCTTTCCCTTGAGTCCCTTTCAGGACGCAGTCGACTGGTCCCATGGATCACAAGACTCCCGAGTTGACACACTCCTGCTTCATTTTCCCTTCATTAAGCCATCATCCAGCTCAATTAACCACCTTTGAACTAGCTTTCTAGTCCCACAAAGCACTTTAACTGTAACCAATCATCAACTCCATGGCTGAACTGAGCCCATTGAAGCAAACTTGGCAAGCTCTTGTTGGAAGAACAATTGTCTGCTCGATTCATTTCCCTCACCAAGAAAGTCCCTTGTTAAGCTCGCTTCGACCTCATTTGCATTCGTCTTCAGCTTTGAGCTCGAGTTTAAATCACCTATTGTTGATTGAGTTGAAGACAATGAACTCAGTAACTTGTTGTGGTCACCATTAGGGCTGGAGATTGTTGAAGGGGACGAGCTCATTAACCCAAATAACCCACTGTTGCTTCTGGTAGATCCCATTTGAGCTGCTTTTTGCAGGAGAGCAGTGGCTGACATGTGAGTGTGGGTTTGTCGGAAACGGTTCTGAGAATTGTTAGAATACAGAGATGTTATGGGTTCCGACAAATCTCTCTTGTTCTCTTCTTCTGTCGGTCCTCGTTGTAATGATGTTTGTGGAGGGTACTGCTGGCTGAGCCTTTGTGTTTGTGAAAATGAACCGAAAATGCTCATTGGTGCAACCATTTCAGGTAAGCTTGTAGGTTTTGGTGCAAAGAAAGCATTGCCATTGCTTTGAATAATACCGATTGGCTTTTGCCTATTGGAATCCAGATTATCGGAACTAGCAGCAAACTTAGGCTTAAAGCCTGATAATTCATAGTTATTGGCCCCAATATTTGTCAAATCATTTCTAAATCTTGCACTTTCTTCAGCTAATGCATCGCAGAAAGCTCTATGAGTGATGAAACTATCCTTCCTGCATGACCAAAAATGAAGCTTTCCAATCATATGGAAACATACCACAAACTATTTATATATATATATATGTATGTATATATTACCTGGAAAAGAGGGTTCCACAATCACATCGATACTCTCGAGTGCCACAGATCTTACTATGAGCTTTCCAATCGGACAGAACTGCATATTTCTTGGAACATTTCTCGCACTTCCATTTCTTTTCACCATGTTTACGGCTAAAGTGTTTCTTTATACCAGTGAGGTCTCCTAGTGCTCTCGACAGGTCGTGGTGGACGCAGGTCTTCTCGGGGCAGATGTAAACTTTCTTTCTAACTTCTTTGTTGGTTCTTTTCTTGAGCTTCCATGGCAGATTGTGTCCTCTCCTATGGAGCTGTAAGTTCTGGTCCCTTTGGAAACCCTTGTTGCAGATTTCACACAGGAATCTGTTGGTCGCCATGAGAGACTTTGGAGATAAAGCAATCACTTCAGCATCAGGATCTGATCATTTCAACAACAAGAAAACCTCCCATCAGGAAGAAAACAATTCTAAAAACAACATTAAATTTGATAATAAACTTGCCTGGTGTCCCTGGCAAATTTCGTCTCTTCTTCGCTGGATTATTAACAGTAGGGTTAGGGTTTGGGTTTGGTTCTTGAGTTAATCCTCTGAAACTCCAAGGAATCGAATCCGACATCATTTGGCTGATTTGATGAACTGATCAACCACACCAAAAGTGAAAATCTATACTGAAATAAAACCAAAACTCCACAACTGAAGCAGGAATCTGGGAAAACTACTAGTACATATTATACTTCAAAAACTGAGTATAATACTACAAAAAAGTAATAAACTTATTCTTCAGTACAATATAAACACAACCCAACAATTCTGGTTTATTGTTTTATAAATGAAAGATTGATATTTGAACTCAAAGTTTTGAAATTGGGGAAGAAAACGCCAAAAAGAAAGCAAGGAGGAGAGAATATTTTGTTCCCCATGGCCATCCACTCCCACCTTATCCTACACGACTTTTCTTCCCAAGTCAGCCGCCAGACATAGACTCACATGGGCCACCTTTTTTATTTTTTTTATTATATAGAAATAATACTTGAATGCTGCATACATGTGGGAGTAAGAGCATGTAAATTGGTTTGATTGGGAGGTAAACCTTAGTTGAAATTGGAAAACTTTTATTATTTTTACTTAAAGAAAGAGAAAAAAACAATGATGATGCTGAACAAAGGAGAAAAGAAAGAATGTTTATAGTAATGTAAAAGGTTATTTGAATTTAATTTTTTAATTTAAAATATTTAATTGAATAATTAAATTATCCATTTTACATCAATTAAAGTTCTTTTTGTTAGCTTAATTCTTAGTTTAGACGTTGAATGTTAATTTTTAAAGAAAAAAAGAGCTTCATAAAATACCCCTTCTAGGCCTATAAAGAGAAAAAGAGTGCTCTAGAAACTTGTTTTACGGTAAACATAATCGAGGATACTGCAGACGATATAAACTCAGGTCAAACTGAGTCAAAATACACAACGTTGCCAGACCTAAGAGCCCACGTAGTTAGAGTATAGGCCACAAAATTACAAAATCTAAGAACATAGCAAACCTTTAAGTGGATCCTAACCTCTAGTGTTTTATGAGCTTCCAAAAGGTGGTAACTCAATGTGGATAGATCCTCCTCTTGTCGGGATAACTTGTTAACAACTAGCGTCGAGTATTCGAATATGACATGGGTCCAACTATACTCGCTAGCCAACAAAAGAGTAGCATTAAAAGCATGAATCTTTTCAACACAACCTAGCGATACTGCAACCATTCCTCCAAGTACCTGGTCGAGAGAGTTACGAGCAATAACACCAACATTTGTCATCCTCCCAATGAGTTCAAAAACATCATTCGTGTTAATTTTAACATAACCAGGAGGGGGAGGTTTCCATTTTGTCTGGCCTAGAAACAACGACGTTCCGGGAGCAAAACTTGCAGTCTCACCCTCCTCAGCGCATGGTTCCTGGCAGATAAGAATTCTTGTTGCAAGGACCTGTCATTGATAGCCAATATCCACGGGGGTTGCCACTTGTTTTCATGCACTTTGGAATTCCTTTCATTCCAAAGATTCCAAAGGAGAACAAGAAAGCAAGCTAGGTCATCAATATTCATGGAAAAAAATTACCAAATCGAGCCAATCTAATGGAGATACAAGTTGACTAGACAAAAATGCACCTTGTACTCTGGACAAAACAAACGTTTCCTAAGTATATGAGTAGTCTCTCAATACGTGAACGGTCGTCTCTTCTTCCATCCCACACATTAGACATATACCATCACTTATCCCGGCCTCAAGCAAACGCTTACCAACCAGTAAACCACCATGAGCCACTCGCCAATCAAAATCTTAATATTGGGTAAAACTTGTAGTTTAGCAACTAATTTCCAAACTTTGGATGTGAAAATCGTAGAATGAGATGGTCGTTGAAGTCACTAGTATCCCGAATGAACGAAATAAATACCCGAGTCACGATAACCTTAAATAATCATATCCCTATTGGTTGGAGCGATTGGTGTTTTCAAAATCAGTTCAGAGTCTATAGGATTGAAAATTTGACGTACCCTCGACTCATTCCAAGAAGTTGTCCCCTCTAATGAAGTTTCAAGCCTGGAACTGTTGCGTAGGAAGATAGGAATAGTCTCCCGAGAGAGAGACTAACTTTGATCCTCCCCAATGATCTTGCGCATGTGGATATAACTATTATGTCCCACTCTCCAGAACAATACACCCGATAAAGCTTGAATGGTTTTTTGGATACCCTTCCAAGCATAAGAATTCCTATCGCCCTTAGGGGCACTTAGTATGTCGCAATTTGGATAGTACTTTGCTTTCTAGACTCGTGCCAACAAACAGTAAGGATGATGAATTAATCTCCATATTTATTTATTGAGCATGGCCAAGTTAAAAGAGCCAAGATCCCTTAACCCAAGCCTTATCGACTCGTTGGGTTACAAATCGTTGACCATGCCACTAACGACCATCCACGTTCTGAGATCTTACCTGTCCACCAAAATTGTCGCATTATGTCATATATTTCATTAAGCAAGTTTTCAGGAATCAGATAACAAGACATCGCGTACTGAGGTTGCGTCTAAGGACAACAACCGCTTTGTCCATCCAGTAACGCAGATATCCAAATGTACGAGTTTTGTTTTTCCTAATATACGATTGAAGTCTCAAGTAATGGTCTAAGGAGTCGACAGCCAGTATACCTAAAATATTAACCATTTGTGTACGATGTTCTAGTAAGGTTCGTGGGCATACGTACAATACTGATGTAGTAAAATTTTAAGAGACACGTAAATTTTAAATTGATATTAAAACTTTAAATTTTAGATATTAATTTAAATTTTAAAATAGAGAGTTTGAAAAGGAATCAAATTGATTTGAAAAGGTTGAATTATTGAATGAAAAAGTAAGTTGCCTTTACAGCAAACTGAGTTTGATTGAAGATTGTTGTTAAAAAGAGAAATTATTGTGTTATAATTGTAGCAGCAGACATCAACTATGAGGATTTTCTTATTGGGTTAAAATGTTAAATAAATAGTAACTAAAAAGATGAAAAGATTGAGAGAGAAGAGAAAGGACCCACAAAACAGATTGTCAGTAGCAAAAACATATATTAGGTTAATTTAGTTTGATTTTTCTTAATAAAAAATTTAACTTTTTTTCCCTAAATATCATCTTTAAAAAATAAATAAATACAAAAATGACAATTTCTTTATACGAATTCTTACGAGAATTTTATTTTTTTCACAGCAAGCATAAAGCGGTTTAAGTCATAAAAAGAAATATTACTTTTTTAAATTTAAATTTTAGTAACTATCGTTTGTAGGGTATATTTTTAATATGTTGAAAATTTTTGAATAAATAAATACATTCATTGATTGAAATCAGAAACGGGTAGAATTTTATGTTAGTGGACGATTGTAAAATTATAAAAAAAAAAGACTAGCTTATAAACTTTTAGGCGATAAAATTAAATTTTTAATAATATATATATATATATATATTAAATAATATTTAAAATTTAATTTTTTTAAAAAAACTACCATCTTCATTCATTCCGTTCGGTCTATCCATACTTAAAATTGGTGTACAACTAAGGAGACGTCCACAAGGATATGACTAAAAGCTTATACAGAGTGAATAATGGCACCAAACTTAATTTTTCAAGAGAAAATTACATGGAGCAACAACTTCGACATGCACAATTTGAATGAGGTAGCGGTAGCTTTGGTGAAGAACTTGAGATTTCTGGAAGATATCCACAACTGCTGCACAAGGAACGGACGAAAAGGCTAAGCTAATGCCATAAGATGGTTACAAAATATTATAGCCACAAGTCAAGGACAAGATTGCAAGACATAACAGCAAAGGAAGAACAAGTTTAATTTTAATTTTGTAGATATTCATTTTCGTTCGGAGTTTTTATTCGAGCTTTTGTATACATATTATCATTTTTTTAATTTTAATTTTATTCTTAATTAATGGTAAAGTTAATGAATGTTCATTATTAAGTATATATGTTTAGGTTAAAGAATGTTGGTTACAAGATTATACGTCATGCGTGTATATATATATATATATTATTTGCGTGTGGGTGCATCTATTATTATATATTATTATATGCCTTTATATATTATATGTTTATATATGTTATATATATAGAATAACTAAATATTAATTAATATTACTTTTTTATTATTTGATTTTACATGCCAAGTACAAAAGCCAAACAATGGAAGTGATCAAATACACGAAATAGCTCAAGTGGCCCAAGTTAAAAGGAAAAAACCAAAAATCCTAAGAGCATAAGTCATCCATGTCCCGCCAAGATCATCCATTGTTAGATTTGAGAAGTGATCAATGAATTGGATTGTACCAGTGTTAAAACTGGGGGTTTTAACTCTAAAGATATGTGCAGCTAGTTCTCAACCGTTAGATCTTGAAACAAGATCTAACGGCCTATGTTTTTTTTCTACAACCTTGAATTTGCGCATATGAGTAGGCCTGTAAATGAACTGAACGTTCAGCGAACTGTTCATGAACCGTGCGGCGGGAAATTCGTTTATGTGCGCTTATTTATTAAATAAACGAACATGAACAAGATTTTGTATTCGTTTAATTAAATGAACGAACATGAACATAGGTCTCGTTCGTTCATTTACGTTCGTGAACGTTTGGTTATGTTCGTTCGGTTATGTTCGTTTATGTTTATTCATTTATGTTTAACCCAATCTTCTTAAATCAATTTTGGTGACCAATTTGTAAGTATCTTAAAAATATTAATTAATCTGATATTCTAATGACCAACTCCATAATTAATCCAATTTTATTTGGAAAACCCAACAATATTAACATGGTTTAGTTCTTTTTGAACGATCCATAAGCTCCATACCCAGCACCGTCAACATCCACTGTGCTAAAACCCTATGTGACTACGCCACCAGCTGATTATTCGATGAGCAAAGAGGAGTCCCAATTTTCAACTTCTACATAGCACGAAGCTAAGGACATGTTTGTTTAATCCCCAAGGATTAAGGTCGGCAATCACATGAAACACAATCTGTGTTCATCTCGACTGTTGTTGAAGGAGAGAGGAAGAAAGAAACTGGAGGAACGTTATGCAATCCCACATCAGTAGCAAACAAGCAGCTCGGGTTTGATAATTTATATAAAAGAAGATGGGTTGAGAATAGGTTTAAGCATCTTTGCGCTTG